GAATATGGGTTGTGGTTGGCCCTTTGGAAACTGTTTAAAGCATAAGCTTGTTCATGGAGACATTCCTTAAAAGAAGGCAATGTTGGACAATCGTTAGTTGAGTGTTCATTAGTTTCACAGATTTGACACGCAATGTTTTCAAAGAATTTTAATTGACCACTCTTTTTCAATTCTAGTGCCTCGACTTTTCTAGCTAAAGATGCAAACTTGGCTTGAAGGTCATGATCTTCCCTAAGGTTGTACATACCTCCACTAGATGTATGAGGTTGAGTTTTACTCGGTGCCTCATATGTACCCGCAGTGTCCCAATTTTGAGCATTTTCAGCTAACAAGTCTAAGTGCTCTATTGCTTCATCAGGATCTTTATCTTCAAAAGTTCCATTGCACATCAATTCAACCAGTTGTCTATCTCTAGGTGTTAACCCTTCATACAAATGTGAAACCAATCTCCATGTTTCAAAACCATGATGAGGGCAAGTACTAAGCAAGTCTCGATACCTATCCCAACATTGGTAAAATGTTTCTCCTGGTTTTTGAGTGAAAGTGGTGATTTGTTTTTTGAAAGAATTTGTTCTATGATATGGGAAAAACTTCTTTAAAAATTGTTGTTGCATTTCATCCCAAGCACAAATGGATCCTGGTCTCAAATTTTGTAGCCATGTTTTAGCTTTATCTTTTAATGAAAAAGGAAAAAGCTTTAATCTGATGGTGTTCATGCTACAATTTAAATAATTATATGTGTTGCAGACCTCCTCAAATTCCTTTAAATGCAAGTATGGATTTTCCAATTCTAAGCAATGAAAAGAAGGTAAAAGTTGAATAATACCTGGTTTAAAATTAAAATGAGATGCATTGAGAGGAAAAACTATGCATGATGGTGCACTTGTTCTTGTGGGATTCATGTGGTCTCTAAGTGTTCTAGCACGGTTATTCTCATTATTCTCATTATGAAGTGATTGATTATCTTCTCCAGCCATATTTTCTGAAAATGATGAGGATACCCTACAAAGTCTACCACTTGATGTACGTGACCACACTCTCATGCACGTGTAGGAATAAAATAAAAAAAAAAGAAGAAGAAAGCAAAAGAAGGAGGAAGAAAACAAAATAAAAAGAAACAAAGTTATATACAAGAAAAGTGAAAAGAGAAAATAAAATAAATACTATAATTTATACAAGAACTTACCTCCCCGGCAACGGCGCCAAAAACTTGACACGACTAAAAGATTGATGTCTTCTCCCAAGTGCAGGAGTGTCGAAGTAATAAATAACCCGGCAAGACCGGGGTCGAACCACAGGGAGGTTAATTGTACAAATTATAAACAACAATTATAAACAATAATTATAAACAACAACAATAATAATAGAAGCAATAATAATACTAATAATAATAGTAGTAGTAGTACTAATAATAATAATAATAATAATAATAATAATAATAAAGAAAGAGAAGAAGAAGAAGATGATGAGAACTTGGAGATGGAAAATTAATGTAAGGATTAAACAATAATAATAACAAATGTCAAGGTTAGAGGTTCCACTAATGGTATATCAAACAAGTATAGTATAAACTCTTATTATTGAATTGGAAACCACACACAAAGGAGGTTCCAATCAGATTATATATTGTTAACATGATTACATTAGTCATCTTATTCAATTAATGCTAATACTTGTAAATCTCGTCAAGCATTCATGATTATAACTTATGTTAACAACAAATCAAGTTCCTTTCATAGCTCAGGTGTCGGTTATACCATACATTATGGGCTATGAAAGTGCCAAGCATTTGTTGTACCAAGTGTTATACAACATAAATCAAGATTAATCATTTAACAAGCAAAGTATTAAAGAGTAAACAAGATAACAAATATAAAACATGTTAGTATCAAACATTAAAGTCCATATTAAGTTTACATTATACTTATTCTCACACCATTAGTGTAACCTTTTCACCTTGACATAATTAACTTAGCTAGACATAATGAAAGAAAGCAAAATAGATAAACAAAATAAGAACATAAAAGTTAACTAAGTAAAGGAAAGGAAATGAAAGGCATAAACTTAATATTAATGAAAACAAAGCATAAAAAATACAAAGAGAGAAAGGAAGAGCATGATCTTGATCTGAACACCAAGATGCCTAAATGCATGGCAAATGCCTCCTTTTATAGGCCAAAATTGGGAACTATTGATTTGATGACTAATTGATAAGTGGGTGACCAACTTTTGACTTGGTGACAATCCTTATCTTCTCTTGTCTGCCCAAAACGTCATTGATAACGTCAAAACTGGAGCCAGTTGCAAACATGAAAGTTGTAGGCAATTGTCTCAGCTTTCTTGTGTAAAAAATTCAGCTCATTTGGACTTCTAGAACTCCAGATATGGCCAAAATACCGAACAGTGCTCGGGCTGGAAGACAGATTCGGGCTTCTTTGTTGTTTCTACAATTTGGACTTGATAATGGCCTTTTTAGATCTTGGGCTCCATATGAAAGTTGTAGGCCTATGTCTTACCTTTCCATCCATATAAATTGGACCTAAATCTGAGATATATAGCTCCAGATATGACCCATTTACCGAACAGTGTTCCGGTTTGGATTGCACCGACATCTCTTCTCTAAGTTTGACCATCTCTTTATCCATGCAATTTAAGTTCTTCAAGTCATCAATCAATCCTTTCATTAAAATAAATCAATTGTTATTTGTTGTGTGGACATGTAGGATCATGGATTGTATTTGGATTGATTTGAAGGCTGATTTAGGGCTTAATTTAAGCATTATATAAGGATACAAATGTACCTAGTATTTGGGCTAAGATTGACGTTGAAACCTTGAGTGTTTGATGGTTGAAGTTTGCACACAATATAAGGCAAGTTTGAGCTTGAAATAGATCATATGATAATCTTTTCTAGAATTGGAATAGAATTGATTTTTTGGGGAAAATTTAGAGCACTTGTTTAAACCCAGATTTGCTTCAAACTTCAACTAAATTTCTCTTCAATTCTTTATTTTAAATTCCAACATTAAATTTTCTGATGTAATCTGTTTAAGCTCCAAAAACCTAGCAAAACATTAAAAGAAACTTCATTACTAAAAAGCACATCAATTATATAAAAATCCAAATAAAAACAATAAATGCATATGTAAAATAAGAGATTTAATGATACTTTTTATTCACAATCAATTAATAAAAAGAGTTTATACTATACTTGTTTAAAATACCATTAGTTGATCCTATAACCTTGACATTTGTTGTTATTATTATTTAATCCTCACATTGATCTTTCATCTCAAAGTTCTCATCAACTTATTCTTATTCTTCTTCTTTTATTATTATTGTTGTTGTTGTTGTTATTGTTGATGATATTGTTGATGATGATAATGATGTTATTGTTGTTGTTTATAATTTATACAATTAACCTCATTGTGGTTCGACCCTAGTCTTGCTATGTTATTTATTACTTCAACACGTCTGCACTTAGGAGAAGATATCAATCTTTTGGTTGTGTCAAGTTTTTGGCGTCGTTTCAGAGGAGGTAAATTCTTGTACAAATTATAATATTTATTTTATTTTCTCATTTCACTTTTCTTGTATCTAACTTTATTTCTTTTATTTTGTTTCTTCTTCTTCCTTTTATTTTATTCCTACATGTACATGAGAGTATGGTCACATACATTAAGTAGTAGACTTTGTAGGGTATCTTCATCATTTTTAGAAAATATAATTGAAGAAGATGACCAGTCATTTTATAATGAGAATAATGAGAATAACCGTGTTAGAACACTTAGAGACCACATGAATCCCACAGAACAAGTGCACCATCATGCATAGTTCCCCCCTGATGTATCTCATTTTAATTTTAAATCAGGCATTATTCAAGTTTTACCTTTTTTTCATAGCTTAGATTTAAAAAATTCATACTTGTATTTAAGGGAATTTGAGGAGGTATGTAACACGTATAATGACTCAAATTGTAGCATGAACACCATACACTATCACATTAAAGCTTTTTTCTTTTTTATTAAAAGATAAAACTAAAAAATGACTATAAAATTTGAGACCTGGATCTATTTATGCTTGGGATGAAATGCAACACCAGTTTTTAAAGAAGTTTTTTTCCATCTCATAGAACAAACTCTTTCAAAAGATAAATCATCACTTTCACTCAAAAACTAGAAGAAACATTTTATCAATGTTGGGATAGATATTAAGACTTGCTTAATACTTGCCCTCATCATGGTTTTGAAACATGGAGATTAGTT